TGTTAAAGTTCATGTAAATTCAGAAACATGTGTATTAGATAAATTTGCACCTTCTCCGTTGTAGATTCCTTCTCAGAGCACTTTTTGTCTTTACAGCACTCTGAAATCTCTTTCATCTGAGTATCCAAACTGTCAAGTTTCTTGGATATAAGTTTATAGAAGGAATCCGTATCGTCTCTGCTCACTCCAGTTTGCTGAAAATCATGAGAACGGGTCAGAATGCAGTCTGTGTTCATTACCTTAGACAAGTGCTGAGAATGAAAGTACAAGTAAGAATATCTGCTGCATGAGAAAATATCGTGATGCTTGTCGTGGACCATTTCTGTTGCACCACAGCCCTAATGACTTGCAATTCCAGGGCCACACTTGCAAGCTGAACCAAAAAATATTAGTGTGCATGGCAGAGTGCATAAAAGTGTATCATTTTGATCGTTTAAGCTAACGTTGAAAATATGCAAAATGCAGGATTTCTGGCTCTGCCGTAAAGTCATATATGATGAAAATGTAGTCTAAAATCAAGAAATAACGCAACTTCCGAAGAACTGATTCCTGACTATTCACTCTCCTCGCGCAGAGAACTAAAAGTCCAAAGTGTTGAGTTTTCAAATCAATCGGCATTTTCAGAATTAGTGAGATCTTGATTTTGAAGTTACGGACTTGGAAACTTTGACGCTGGGCTATGATAAAAGTTTTTTTAATGGATCTACAGTTCAAAATTTTCAGTTTTGCCTCTCTTTAGCTCAAAAATTATAAAATTAGGTTAACTCTAGATGAGTGGGAAAATTCCGGTTGTCGGCTGGTTGGTTGCTGTTTTCATGCGCGTTGCTGCTGGTCGTCAAGAACTTATATTTGCATATTTTTGGTTTTCTAGCTTCGGAAACGAACTATTCCCGAACTTTGAAGTGAATTTGAAATGAATTATTCCCACAAGTCCTTTCATGACAATGCATTAAAAAAATCTGTAGCAACGAACCCCGTGCTGCCTTTTTTCGACTGCTGAGTGACTGGACGATGCTGTAGCTGAAACAATACAGATGAATCAGTTTTGTGCCGAAAGCATGGCATTAGAAGAAAAAAGTGCTTTATTATAATCTTCATTTTGGCTAATTTTCCTCGCATTATAATTTCGTTTGCGCTAATTTTCCTCAAAAATTCCTTTTTTGGTGTTCTCACTAAAACCCGACCCAGGGAGCTTCCGCACTCTTGTGTGACAATAGCAGCAGGATAAAAGTGCCGGAATATTGTAGAGCTTACATCGTTTGAGCAGCTTTCAAAAAGGAAACGTTTGGAATAGCTTTTGCGGTTTTTTGTTTCGAGCATCTCGGATATGATGTTAGGAGAGGATGATAGAACTAGGTC